AAAAAAAAAAAAGGAAAAATGCCTTTTTGGTCACTCCTGAGAGTGAAGAATTAAATTTACGGCCTTCCAGAAGTCTTTTGGTTGGAAACCAGCACCATCCACTGCCCAAGAAAATTCATTGATGTTGTCTTCCTTAAACGGTACGAGTGTCTTCTACCCCTTCACTCCCAAGAGACAACGTTTGCAAGTTAAGTTCTGGTAATTTGCTGTTTAATCAACTAATTATCCCCTAATTGTTATTTTTCTGTATTCTCATTGATTTTCTTCTCAATATTGAATTTATATTGTTATGAGAAATTCTCTCTTGGCCACTCATGCAAGAAAAAAGGCTCATAAGTGAGATGTATCATCTGCCTAATTCAAGTTTCTACCTAACACTGATGTTCAGTTCAAGAGAATGGACTGTACGCAAAAATAAATGCTATCCACTGGTTTTGAAAGAGATGCTAGCTTTACCTTTTTTCCTCTCCTTCCATCACTATTATTTGCATTCACTGCCTCAATTTGAATGGTCAACTTTGCAACTGAAAGAAATGTAAGCACAGGAGGCTTCTGAGAGGCCAGTGCATCTGCTTGGTAAAATATAACTGATGACATTACTACAATTTTGTTTGTGGGAAAGATTAAAAGTGTTACCTAAGGGGCTTCCAGCCAAATATTTTCCTGTCCGGCCCTCCCACTCAGTCAATAAGTACTTAGTATTTATCATTCTAGAAGACTTACTTACTTTTTTGTTCATATTTATCCGCATATTTTTGTTCCATCTTTCCCAGGCCAATTTTACGGTGCTCCCACTGCATAAAAGAAAAACAGCACTAAGGCAGTTTCTTTAGATCGTTAAAACTGACTTTGATCAACAACAGATCAAACTAACCAAAGCTTAATAAAAGCTTAATTTAGCCTTATTTAAGAATTTACTTTGGAGATGCTTTCACTGATTCATTAGACTAACACAACACTAACTCTATGTTGCTCTTAATTATTAATTATTGATGTGATCGTTTTACCATTTTAATACTTTTGGGACCACAGTAATTGGCTATCGCTGTTGTGGTTGCCTGCCCGTTATTGTTATTGCTATTTTATTTTATCCGGCTGTGTTATGGGTTATATATATTGTTGGCAAAGCTAATAAAATGAAAAGCACTAGAGATTCTTGAATGAAAAAAAGAAGATGCAAAACCTCTTATTGATCAAGACAAAGGAACTTCAATGACAGAATTATATGTAAAACAAGGCTATTTTGAAACATTACCTGACTTGCATTTTGGAGACTAAACACTCTCTTGACCTCTTCAGGGGCACTTTTCAAGAAAAACACAATAGTAAAAAGTAATTTTCACAAATCACTTTAACCATAATTTGTTTAATAGACATGAAGTAATTACAGTCACGCTCCTTGATAAACCGTTGTATAATGAAGAACAAAAAAAAGTTTGCAAGAGAGCAGAACTTTGACACTACTCTCATGCAATGTTAAGTTTTACATCTCCTGGCCAATGCACCTTTTTGGAAAAGTGAAAATAAAGAGTTTCAGGTCCACAATCTTGAAACAAAAGTACACAGTCAAGACTAAATTTTGAAAAGAAGTCATGTATACAGCTATGCCTAATTTGCTACCCTGTACAACTCTGCCGAATTTACTAGCCTGTATATCCTATTGCAAACATCCCTGTCAGTTAGACGACAATGAGAAAGCGAGTTTGAAAGTGAAACTTCAACCTTAGCTTTCCTGCTCTCAGTATCCAGCCTGATCACCCATCACTAAATCATTATTATTTACTTTTCCTTGTACTTATTTATATTTGTGTTATTTTTTTGTCCAACTGAATGACCTTCTCTCACAGGAGATCACCCAATAGAAATAAAAAAGCATTTTTTCTCCAATTTCCTTTTCAACCTAATGGTAAAAGGTAAAAGTTTACGAAAGATAAGTTGGCTTACACAACAAGTGAACAAGCTGGTTACTGGTGGTCTAAAACCTTTTTCATAACCTTTCATGGCATCTTACCTCCAACTCTTCAGAATTTGTACAAGATTTACATGACCCTTTCCATGTTCACAACCATCTATTCCGCTATATTAATCCACTTGTGAGGAAACTTATTTAAAGCCCAGCATCTTGTCAGGGCATATCTTTGTTTCAAATGCCATTGACATGTTATGGTATTACATATGATGTAGCAACACTTACTTATGAAGTTCTTCAATATCTTCAAAACCACTTACATACTTTCTTCCACTCGACCAGGAGTCAGCTTTTAAAGAAAAAAAAATAGACAGAGATAACAAATACGTTGTAGTCTAACAACAGAAGACAAAATTTAAGGTGAGAAAATTGAAATAACTGGACATACGAAGTGGTTTCAGAGTAAAGGTCTTTGCGTGATTTTAAGTATTACATGGAGGCCAGAAAAAGAAAAGGAGCTGAAAAATGCTATACCGTGAAAGTCCATCTTTATGGTTTGGCCATGGAAGCACAGAAAAGTATGCTTAGCCTAGCGAATATTTTGCTGAGGCATGACTTCTAAATATTTAAAGCACAAATAAATGCACTTACCAGAAATATCTACTTCTGCGCTAAAATTTGGACAGCATAGTCGTAAACATCTCGTCGAGAGCTTTACTAGAGGCCGGGCTGTAGAAATTCCTTTGCGGATATCATAGAAGAATCATATTACAAGGTGAAACGTATGCCACAAGTGTCTGCTAGCTTTACTTTGCACCATGAGTAAGCAACAGTTCTAGAAATCATACCTCCATAGGGGGAAGAAATCCTCTGAAAAGCTAAATAATTGAATGATGCCGATATAAATCTCAAGCGTTGAAGAAAACTCATTTTGCATGAGTGCACGCCGCCATTTTAGATTTGCTCAGCGGTATGTTTTGCGGGCTCATTAAGAGCTCGTTCCAGTCTCTGGTCTGGGCTGGTCTCTCATATACCGGGTTCTGAAGTAACTAATAATTAACAGGTACAATGAATATATGAAGTTCTGCGAGGATCGTGCATCATACGTAATAATTAACAGATGGAGTACCAGAAGGATAAATTGAATGGGTAAAGAGGCTCAGTGAACAGTGAGCTCAGAGGACCAGAGGAACGATGGGCACAGCGGACCAGTGAGTACAAAGGACCAGAGGAACAGCGGGTACAGAGGACCAGAGGAACACTGGGCACAGTGGGCACAGTGGGCACAGTGGGCACAACCTCTGTACCCATTCACTTTACCCTTCTGGTAAATCCATCTGTTAATTATTAGTTATTTCAGAACCCGGTATTGTGAGAGACCAGCCCAGATCTGTGTTCCTGTCAGAACTGGTTTTATCAGTAAGCAAAAGAGTTACAACTCTTCATCAAGTACATTGTCTTTGGACGCATCTTTCAGCCGTTTCTCTGAAAATTATGATTCTTCTGAGTAAAATTAGCATTATGGTCAAAATATTTGCTCTCTCCGTCAGAGTTCGTGCTGCGCATAAAAAAATTTATGTTAACCTTGGCAGGCCTTGTTTTTTTTTAGTATTGATTCTGATTGGTTGAGAAAGTAGCGCGAGATTCTTGGCCAATCACATCACAAAATAAAGCAAAACCGAAGAAATTACAACAGCCAATCACAGCAAGGGAAATATCATCAAGAGCCAATGGCAACTCGAAGTAAAAACAAGTTGACCAGCTGAAGAGCGGGAAAACGCGGATGACCAAGTCGCTCAGTTTTCTCTTAGACTGACAAAGTGCCCATTTCAAAATCAACCTCTGAAAGAAACGTACAGCCAGAGTGCCGTTTGAAAGGGTTGATTTTCGCGGATAAACAATCAAGTGCAGATCTAGAGGTGGGGTGCAAGGAATGCAACCCCCCCCCCCTCTCCCCCCTAAGATGGCCTGCAACTTCGAGTAGATTCAGTTGTACAGTTGTATGATAAAATTAGAACCTGCTGAAAAAAAAACTGTGGTTTATTGGTGTCAAAGCAAAACATGAGAAGAGGTTGAAAAATTTGTTAAACGCTGTAGAAATGGTAGTGCAGTACTGATGTTTCGGTCATTAGCTCTTCTATTCGCTGTAGAAATCGTAGTGCAGTACTCAGTGATGTTTCGGTCATTAGCTCTTCTCTTCGCAGTAGAAATGGTAGTGCAGTAACTATTTTTTCGAGTTTATTGTGTGGTTTATTGGTGTCAAAGTACAACACGAGACGAAGTTGAAAAATTCGTTAAACGCTATAGAAATGGTAGTGCAGTACTGATGTTTCGGACATTAGCTCTTCTATTCGTCAGAGCAGACGTCAGTTACGTCCCTCACCCCTTTGTGGTACTTCTCCTCCTAAGAAGGGGATTTCAAGGTTTATGAAGTACCATTTGATCTCGTTACAAGTACGGTTAGATCACTCAAAGCATTGGAACAAGTACTTTGAGTATTTCAGTTCATCGGCAACTTTTGATTTGAAGTATCCAATACTGAGCTTTTCAATCCTCATGTGCAAGCTTTGCACATGTTTGCGCTTGCGGTTTCAGTCAAACCATTGTTTTCCCTTGTCTCTGGAGATTATATGATCTATCCAAGGTATGCAAATATTCAAATTGACTTTCTACAACTTCTGGCATTGTTAATTTCACCGCAACAAGTTTTTCATTACTGGTTAGAGCTTAAAATTTGTCATCTGTAACGCGGGCATCATGTGTGAGGCCATATGGAATGGCCACTTCTCCTTGTGACGTCAAAAGGTCTCATTGGGCTCCATCAACTGGTAAATTTGGCACAGGACGAACCTCTGCGCACGCAGGTTTAATTTCTTTAACTTTCCTTGACGACGAGCTGTCTGGTGCACGAATTACACTTAAAATAGTCGCCCAGACGAGGCTAACAGCGAGGCAGAAGTTCAGCTGATGTGCCACTGGAATAAGTTTAAAATTTACAACCTGAATGAGGAGGAAAATATGTTACAAGAAAGGTCAATGGCAAGAAACATATGATGAGAAAGACAGACATTATGATTTTCTAACAGCGTCAAACTGGCATTTCTTTAGATCGATTGCTTTTTGAGGCGGGAAGGGACCAAGGGACTATTTCAATCTGTATAAAGGTTCTAAACATTTGGCTCAACTGAGTCCGAAGTAACGCGAAAAGGAATGAAAACCTCAAGGAAACAGAGGTTGGCAGGCATTTTATCATTAAAATGCAAGGAAACTATTTCAATCTACTCATTCAATTCACGCATTTCATTTTCTTTTATAACCAGTACTCTTTCTTGATTACACGAACGTAATCTCGGATGGTACTGGTTTTTCTTCACTTCGCACCAGCTGTGTTCTTCCCTCTCAACCGATAAGAATAGCCAGACACTCCTGTTTTTCTTTCTTTTTTTTTTTGTCTTTTTTTTTTGGGGGGGGGGTCGAGTTTGTTCTTACGACCGACGACAATTTTAGTTGAACATCCTACGAACCATAACTATAGGCCAGATCATCCAGCAAGCCTTGAGTGTTGGCCAATAGAGTTCCTTTAGCCTCTCTACTGTTTCATTGTAATTGAGGCCTTCCATTGCTCCCATACTGTAAGATAATTGTACAAAAAAGGCTTCTTTTAACTTGGTAATTTTACCACCGTGGTAATACATATTTTAAACGTCTTAAGACGTTCTTGACACCTTCAAATAGTTCATAATTATATCATCCCTTTTGACGAGGCGTACATATAAACAGTAGCCTCCATTTGGCGCGAAAAGAAGCACGGATATTTGTCCACGGACATTCTGTCTCAAGAAGCGAACAGTTTTCCGAGAGCGAAACCAGGCGCGTAGCGTCCTCTACGCATATACGCCCGTGCGTACTTGAAGTGACCAGAAAAATTTGAAAACAATGTTGTGTTTGCACCAAGTTTGCTCAAAATAAGGGCAAGACGCTTTGCTCTTTGCTTGTATTCACACTACTATTTCAAACAAGAAATAAAGAACGCAGTATTTTTCGATCAGTTTACTTAGGTTTCTAGATCATATGTAATTGTGCGTACTTGAAAAAATGACCACGCTACGCGCCTGGAAACTCGAGGTATATAAGTGCGAGCTTCGAGGAACTGATTATAAATAAACATATATCAACATATTTTCGTGCTAAAATGGAGGCTTCTGTGTTTATCATCCTTTAAATATTTTGCAAAGCGCAGAACAAAGTTAAGAACAGCTGCATGAGAAGTTCACTTTTCAGTGTTCTGAGGCACGATTTTATGAAAAAGAACAAAACATGTCCCTTCTTCTGCAACAACCACAAAATGCTCTCTCGTCTTAAACTCATTATTAAAAGAGGACTTATCGTAATGGACGTAAGGTTTGAAAATTGGAGAATAATACTTGGATTATATCCCCGGATATTCCCAAGTTCCAAGTTTTAGCTGGGGAAATTTTAGTCGCGTGATGTGTTTAGATCAATTGCGTGCAAACAAATATATTTCATAAATTGTTACACTAAATTAGTAATGTAGCACAACTCTCTTTGTGAGGATAGGCTGACGTACTAACCTCACATGATACACAATAGTTATGGCTGGAGCCCAGTATCCAAACTGATCAAAGAACATTTTCACAAAAGGAACAAGGGAAGCTCTTGCAGCTATCTAAATTAAAGGAATAAGAGCAAGCTAATTCCACAGACTGGAAATTGATAACCAGCTGACCTTCCAAGGATCCTTTTAACAAAATCTTACCATTCAGTCAATAATGTAGTCAGCAAAATAAACTGTATAATTTATGCCAATTAATCAATTGATTCATCAATTCAGTTAATTGTTATTCCTGCTAGACTTACTGTGATCAGTTCATTCTGAAAGATCAACAGATTAGCCAAAGATTTTAGTTAGGAACATTGGACATGTTCAGGAGTGTTGATTACAAATACAGATCCCATTGGACCACAAATAAAGCTCCAGAATGGGAGTCTGGACTGTTGCTATTCATCTCTTCCATCCTATCCACTTGTATAGTTCATGCCGAGTGTTAAGTTCACAGTCTAACTTTTAAACCATTATGTATGCAGGAAAAGAATAGTTTTGGTTGGGAAGGGAGAGGACAGGACAGGATAAGGGCTCTCACCTCAAATATTATAATCATGCAAGAGTGGTTCTATTGAATGGACAGTGTATTTGAATGTTTGAAGTGAAATCAATAAATAGGTAAATGTGAAGTCTGTACTTGAGCCAAGTAGCTCATCCAGCCAAAGTTTACTCCAGTTTCCTTCACACAAAGAGACTGGGAGTATTACTACTCCTCCCTGGATGCCAGTCTATCACAAGGTAGTACCACCCAGCATTTAATCAAGCTTCCCTGACAATCACTGGTATCGATTTACACTCCTGGATGGAGAGAGGCAGTGTGACAGTAAAGTGTTTTACTCATGAACAGAATGCATTGACCAAGCTAGGTCTTGAAGCTAACCCTCTCAACCCTGAGTCCAGTGTACTATCGAGGCTGTTGTAGTTCGCAGAAAAACTATGAGGCGTAGTTGGAGAATAAATACACACTTTAATCACGTACACGAGCCGATGTAGAAAGAAGCAACAAATTGTGTTATGAATTCCGCTTATATACCAGGGGGCCTGGGAACTAATAAGCGACTGCAGACTGGAAACTGAGGCAATACTACGACAAAGGCCACCTAGTCTCACACAAAATTAATATTTTAATCGCTTGGTTAAGTTCTAGGTAAATTAACTTCCTACCTTTTCTACCACCAACCATTCCAAAAAGTTGAAATGCACATGAGCAAGAGGAGCCATTATAACTGAACCATAAAGGACAGCTCTTAAAAGGCGCTGCAAAAAAATGATCAATTGAAAGTAATTCAAAGTAAGAATTTGAAGCAAGTATGCCTAAATTTCAGAGTTCTTGACAAAAGCTGCAATAAAAAAATAAATTGCAATGGCATGAAGCCAACTAAGTTAAATTTTACATTCAAGACTTGAATTGGTAGAAGGCGACATGTCACGTGTACCTTATCACTGACACTATTTTCATTGTTGGCCATGGTTCTTTGGGCAATGTAGTCTCCCACGCCATATAGCACTGCAGAAATAACAAGAAAGATAAACTTCATTCCTTTAAATGATATTGATGCATGTTTAGTTTTTATTGGGGGTTGCATGTTACCTACCTTTCTATTATATCGGGAAGTGGATAGACATTCTAGTCTACACAGATAAAGATGAAAAACCACAGGCCCCATCTCCTGCATCTTCTCTTAGCAGGGGATGTTAAAGAATCCACACACTTATCACAAAGAGCAGGAAACATAGCTCCCAGTGCTGGGGCAGATCCAGGATTTAGTCAAGGGGGGTTTGGAGGGGGGTTCGGAGAATTGTTCCCCTTCTGAGGGGTCCATGATTTTGAAAATTAGGTCTTCGGAAACTTGAATTCCAGCATTCTGAGGAAAAATTTATCCGAACCACCCGAACCACCCCTGGATCTGCCCCAGCAGTGTTGTGGACAGGCTTGATTACTGAAATTGGGGGCATCTGTTAAACTTACATCACAAAGAATGATAAACTACTGCAAGCAGCCTGTAAGTCCCCTGCAAAACATTGTAATGCACATTTGATCATATCCCAATGTTATTTTGTGCAATATAAATATTAAATTGATGTCCATAATGTTCGCTTACTAAAAGATATTCTATATACAAGGCTAAAAGATTAGGAAAAAAATTATTAAAATGTTTACACCAAACGTTTTTGGCCGTTTGCCGTCAAATTATTATTAAATTATTACCTATTGGTGGATCAGGAATCCTGAAATTTTACTTGGACATATTTCTGTGAGGCAAGCCTATTTTGGAAGGCCATGTATGATGCCGAACTGACGTGAACCTAATTCTAACTTCCTCTTACCTCCTGAAGTAATGCACTTTGTTCTTATGGGATACTTGTCAAGCATCTCATTATACCATGTAAATGGATTTCGTCTTCCTAAAACTGTAAGATAGATGAGAAGTTTGACAATTGCCTCCGGATATCTACGCTGGTACACAATTCCCTTAGTTCCAAGTTTTCAAGTCCACGGTCCAATCCAGATTGTAAGGAAAGATATCACTGAAGTAAACGCCCCCCTACAGATGTCTCTTATGTCTACAAGAACATACTCCAGTGTGAGGACAAAAGAAATAGTAATGATTCCTTTGAGAAATTAACTGCATTTTTGTTTGATTTTTTTTTTCTTTTGTGTGCCATAATATGCCTATAATTTTTTGCATAGATGTGAACTGATTCATGAGTTCTAAACGCAAGAAAGTCATCTAACTTGCTGGTGAAAAAGAAAGGGTAAAACAGCTAACCAGTTTTGAAAATAAAGGCACTTTCTCCCTTCCTTAATTTCCTGTCATGCGTTTTTAATTTGATTAAATCTGCATGCTGCACACAGCAATCAACTATAAAGGTAAAATCAAACTTCGGAGGACTCAACGGTAGAAGTCAATAGCATAAAGTTGTTTGCTTAGTTATCTCAAATATTAAACCCTTGCGATAAACGAGAGTTTAAATTTTCAACTATGCCTCGTCAGGGAAACGAATAATCGAGTTTTATTCATGCACTCACCGAAGTCGATATTACGCCACACAACGTAAAAATTTCCTCCCCTGCGCAAAGTTCATAACAAACCAAAATCTTCCTTATGTTAGAAAGAATTTCATTTTCTCTTTTTCATCCTACACGTCTAATATTTAACCATATGATCAAATATTCAGTAAGTAATGTATTGGAAGATACCTTTCGCTCCAGCCGAGCTCTTCCATGGACGATTGCAATATTTTCCAATTCCACATCGTGTGTGGTTTACCCAAATAGCTCGTGCACTTCCTGGTCTGTTGACATACTTACTTAAGACTATACTGCGTAAAGCCATAAAATATAGCGTTAAAAAGACGAAATAACAACATTTAAAACTCAATAAAACAATTCATATACTCGTTACTCCATGGTGTGCGTTATGCAATCATCATCTGTTCTTCAAAATAGTTATATCTCTGTTACATGACATCAAAAATCGCTGTGCTCCTCTCAATATTTCTGAACTTTTTACTCACTCTGAACAGGTTCATTCCTACTCTACTCGTTTCTCAGTAGCTGGAAGCTTTTATATAAAACAGGCGAGAACAAATCATCAGTTGTTTTCCTTTTCTAGAGTTGGTGCGAAAATATGGAATGGCATCCCCCCTGAAATTCGTAAGCTAAAGAAAGCACCTTTTAAACGTGAGCTAACTCACTTGCTTTTGAAAATTCTTGAAATTGAGGAGATGAATGTTGACTTGCGCTACCTTGACCTTTCTAGCTTATATTTGTATTTCAACTGATTAGCTTTCTCTTTGACCTGTTAAAAACTCCCTTGTGTGACTGGCTCAGTTAAAACCTTTAACATGATTTTACTACTATTATTTATTATTTATTTTTATTTGCTCATTTATTTATTTATTTCATTGTTGCGTGTGTGTGTGCGTGCGTGTGTGTGTGTGTGTGTGAGCCTATACAGTGTCTGTTTAGGTAGCCCGCCTAGAATAGCTTTGCTAACTGCGGGCTACAAAAGCCTTTATTTCTTTCATTTTAAAAAAAAATAAAGTCAATGTTGTTGTTGTTGTTGTTGTTGTTATACATAATGAGAAGCTATAACCTTGGCATGGACTTCAAGGCAACGGAAACGGGAGATGCATCTAAATACATATCATCATGTAAACGATTCGAATAGATGGTTTGAGGTTTAAAGTGAGTGAATGAGTGAAGCGAGTTCTCACATTTTAACCACAGGATTTGGTAGTCTCTCGCACGTTAAAAAAAAAAAAAAAAAAAAAAGAAAAAAAAGTCTAAAGAGTTTGTCCACCATGCAACCTGCCGATTGTGTCCTTAGAGAGGAGTCTCCTTTTTATCTGAGTGACGTCACTGAGATAATCTGATGTTGAGACTTCGCATACTTAAGTATAAGAGCGAAAGGATGTTGACATGCCCGCAGAATAATTCGTCTATCATGACACTTCCCACCTCAAATCACCTCAAATACTCCGTTAAGAATGTTTGATTTTCAGTGTGCGTGGAACAAACCAAGAATCTCAAATCTTGCACAACATTTCAAAAGCAGGGCACGAAAACTTCGGTAATGAGATGCAAACTTTAGTTTTGGTGTCTTTTTCGAAGCTATAGAGTTTTCATATGTCTTGCTCCCTACCTGGTTTCGAGAGCACATGGTTTAATTTTTTTTTTTAACATTATTTATTTCTCCATTTTTTTTTTATTTTTTTATTTCTAGCGTTGGTTTTCCTTGAGTCAACATAGTCTTTGGTTATGTTCGTCGCATTTTTTTTTTTTTTTTGGTATCTTCCACTAATCAAGACGAGGAAACGCATTATGTATAATGTAATGCTGATCATTTAGCGAGCGATAAAGGCTTAATATATGCGACGCGTGAATTTTACTGAAAAGCGAGGTAAAGTGATATTAATAAAGTTTTCACTTTTAAATTCGTGATGCGTGAAATACTATTTGCAATACACGCAAAGCATGAATTTTTGTACAATTCGTTCGTGAAACGAAATTGGATTCCCCCTCCCTCCCTCTTTGCTGCCCTCAATTACGAGTAACATGGAAAACTATTCGTTTAGTAACATTCCTCTGGCTTTTCAGTTTCTGTTCTCAGAACTACTAAATCAGGGAAACTGCGAAACACTGCTGACCATGATTTACCAGTCAGACCATCAAGTGCACACCTTTCTGCTGTTTTCATGATCAACTTTGAAAAGTAAACAAGTCTGAAATAATTATTTTTATTCACAGACCGTGAGTTCTTATAAACCCGTTGATAAAAGTTCAACGACTTTTGATTCTATTCATACTTTTAAGATATTTTTGGTATTTTCTTAGGGAAGCAAACCGTTAATTTGGGATCAACTTTGATGGCACTTTGCAAAACCGATGCAAAATAGGTTCTCCAATAATGTGTCAGAAATATCTAAGTTAAACAATTCACAATGTAGATTTACGAACCGCTTACTTGACATTAATTAACACCTACAAAACAATTCATTTTACCCTTAATTCATTGAAGTACAGCTGCCTACCCACCTGCTTTTAACTCTTATCAATTTTTCTAAACTTTAACAAATGGACAACAACAGACAAAATTTTGTTCTAGAATGCCACACAATTTACAACTGAAAAAGCAATTGCTATAAATCTGTATTCTATTTGCCTAAATTTTGATTGGTGAGTCTTGTATTTAATCAATTAACTATTTCAAAAATTGTCACTGATTCATAGAAGAAATGTTACGCTTCTGATAGGCTTTGTTAGGTCTTCTTTTGAAAACATGGACCTGTTATTTTCCACTTCTAATATTTTTAGATCCCAGCGAACTTATAAGCGCCACTAACGTCAAACCAATAACCGCAGATTAGCTTTCATTGAACTAAAGAAATTAAAATTTCACAACTGAAAAATTTTTTAGCTTAACTGTAGTCAGTTTTTTGGCATATATTTGTCTCTCTGACCATAGAAAATACTCCGAAAACTTATTTCTCCATTCAGGTAAATTCTTATTTCCTAAACTAAAACAGCATTCGCTCGCGGTGTTGTTAATTTTATTCGCACATGCAATATCTATGAAAAATTAACGAATGAAATTTTTTTTTCTCCAGAAAATATAACGTGTCGCAGTCACAACTAAGGATTACTTTTTAGACCCGACGCCTACCCTTAGAATGTAATAACGACATTAACACGAAAATCAAAGCATAAACTGGCTCGATTTATTTTTTGCAACACACAGCGTAACCAGTGGGTTTTAAAAATGGTATTCAGCCAAATCTTTCTACGAGCCGGCCGAAGCTGTAGTTTATTTAATGTCGCGCTGAGTCCAATTTTCGAACAAATTGCTTTTACATAAATAACAGACAGCTAAACTTCAAAGCGAGTTTGTCTGAGCGCAAAAACAATTTGGTCGTCCTCTTTGAAGTCCTAACAGGAACTCTTCGTTCTTATTATTCGTTGATGAAGTCAATGAATATTGTTTATTTACATTCAATTGCTGCGAGGCATAACTGGAGGCGCGAGTTCGGTTCGCAGTAGGATATTAGCGGTTTCTTAGCATTAATAAATAATAGGTTCCTTTTATGTACCAACTTCCCGCAAAAGATGCAATATAATTTCTTTTAAGACAGGTCTGCTGTTGTCAAAAAATTATTTACCAAATATTTCGCCATGTCGTGCTCGAATGCGATGAAGGGATTTAGCAAGGGTTTATAAGAAGCGGATTCCTTTCTGAAGCCCGTTATTCAGTTCACATTCTTAATATTATCAGCATGGTTATCTGTTGCGACATAACAACTAGGACCCCCATTTTCCTTTGACCCTGGTGTATTTGCAAGAGCTGCTGAAGGAGACAAGTAAGGGACATTTTTGTCTAACATCTAGATCAGACAATTGACAATTCTCTATCTTTGTCTAGAAAGTTAATACGTCGATCTGCGAAACTGTGGGCTGGGTTTAAGAGTCATTTTGTAATAAACAATTGCTTCCAATGCATTGCTGCGAAAATCTTGAGGTGTATAACGACAAGAGTCAAGGTACTGTGTGCAAAACGGATACTTGATCGACGTGTTCTAAAACGAGTATTTGGAAAATTGCCATAAAAGTTTAGCCTTTGGAGAGCTCATGAGTAGATAAATATAGTGCGTATTCCACTTTATTGTTATCTGTAGCCCTCTCCTTTTAATTCGTTCCTTAGGTAATCAAGTACAGTCCAGAAATCCTTAACCGGAGAATGCGCTTTGACTCAGCGTTGCATTTAAAATTTGGAAGAAAAATCCCTGCTGGTGTAATTTTGATCTGTTTCTGCCTGGTTAGTTTGCTGCGGCTTGCAGTGGGAGGGTACGTATGGATAATTGTGTCGATAACAATCTGATTTCTGACTGCTCTCTACAACATGATCCTAATCTACAGAATAATTTCATCACATATTCGTGTTGAGAGCTTAAATCCGAATCGTAACGCGTGCTCCTTCAATGATTGGTCCTCATGTGTGGAAAAGAGGACGGCCCACTTTAGCTAGCTAATCGCCACTAACGAGAACATTAAAATAATCTGTAGTAAGTTTCCTTTTCCTTGCCCTTTCCTCCACCTTCTTGTTTTTAGTCCTTTGATTCATGTGTTCCATACCGGCGAAATTGTTTCATACCGCAATTTTTCGCAAACCAGTCAAAAAGATATTTCAATGTATTTTTAAACTAGCATACGAAATAAGCGAGTTAAGCCGCAAGCATTTTCACCATTCGGGCACTAATGAAGCTGACTAATCAGTCCAGATGGGTGCAAATTAAGAACATGCACCTAAACTAAAACGCAGCGTCTAAACCCTTGGTAGCCTGGCGCGCTCTTAAATGGAATAAATGCTCGGCAGATCAGCTCGGAAATGTTTTTCCAAAAGTCGAAAACCTATAGCAGTTTCACGGTTTGCACAAGCCCAAGTCGCTTGACATTTCTAAACAATATCTGTTACTCTTAAGAAATGTTCAGGAGGAATTCTGTGAAAATGTTCCGACCGCCGGGTATTTAGTCTATTAAGAATGTGCCCAGCTGCCGTGTATTGGGAAAAATTAGGAAATAAAAATAGTTTACAGTTTAGAGAGTCAAACAATGCAAAAGTCCAAAGCTGTTTTCTACAGCGCAGGCCACCAACGAGTTTGTAGCTCCCCTCTTATACGTAGTTTTCACAATTAACGAAAAGCTAAAAAAAAGAGAATTTTTCTTTCCAGTATTCTTATCATAGACGGACCAACTTACGTGTTTGCAGTTGAATATCGCTCTAAATAATAATTTATTTTTTTCGTATATACGAGGTGAAATATAGAATATGAAGAAATTTTTGAAGAATAAACTTATGAGCAAAAATGTTTTAACTTATCTCGATTTGGACGGGTAGTTGTTTCTGATATTTGTAAAGCATTCTCTAACTTAATTAATAAACTTTAAATCGATGGCCTCACAAATTATTGAAAGATGGTCCACTAAAAACAATGACCCTACGCTCCAATTCTGCTCTACTAAACCTCACGTGTGAAAACATTACGATTATAGACTTTTCACATTTAAAGTCTTAAAGGCTTTGACAAAATAAAATTCAATTGTCAGTTCATTGCGAATAACCGTATTCCCTTGACGTGTAATAGTGCGGTTTTGTGGTTTTATTGAGGTTTAAGAGGGGGGATAAAGAGTTTATTAGCACCACCTGTTCGTTTCAGATAAAACGAATTGATTTAATTTGTTCCTCTTGTTAAAAAAAAATTGTTGTTTGCAGATGTCTTATATTTTCATAGGCTCGTGTGAAATCGAAGGGGTAGAGCAAGACTGAACAGATTGTATCCAGTTGGGGGAGGGGGATGGGGGATGGAGAATTGGGAATAGGGGCATGAGGGAACGGGGGATAAGGGGATAAGGGGCAGCTTCTTTACCTATCACCTGCTTACAAAGACGTTTTCGACTAGCTCAGAAAATCGTTCCTTATGGCCGAAATAAGAGACACAAAGAGGGTGGTAAAGTGAGTCTTACTCACGAGTAAAGACTGGGAAAGCCGCTTCCTGTCGGTTGCTCATCGTAAGGGCGTTACTCCCGTATATTCTAGAGTTGGTGAAATGAAGTGCATGGCCACACATGAGCGTCATGGTGGGGTTGTTGGTGTAGAGGCTATCTGCACTCAGTACACCGGGTTTCTTTTCTCTATGTAAATAAATGTAAATATAGTTTATATCTGACCACTTGCAGCCCAGAGGCTGAATAACAGATGCAGTGTAAGGTTGAGAACAGACGTCAGCATATAATCTCCTTTCTATAGTAGTGGTGATTATGATGATTAAGGCTTTTTGTTGTTGGTGTGCTTGTTTAGATGCCAGAAAAGTTGCAATAGAAGTGCTGAGGATCTTCTTCTTTGGATAAAAAATAAAGACTATGATGGATCTGTGAGGCCGAATGTGACTGGTAAGTAACATATCTGAGTAAATCTCATGAAACATAATAACGCAAAAATAAGTTGTGCCATTTTTCTCAAAAGCCCCGTTTTGTGAATGACCAAGGCATTAAAAAAAAAAAAAAAACACCCGAGATTTAACGATTAGGAGGGGGGCCAACAGTGAGAAAGAACAGAACTAATGTATTTCTTTTCAATTTGGCTTTCTATGGTAATTATTTTAATGCTTTATCAGTCTGAATATAGACTTGGGTAGTGACAAAGAGAGCATTATATATACAAAGCGAAAAGTCGTCAAGTGACAACGTAACGCATGGCATGCTGAATTGACATTGCTTTGACTAGGCTACTGATCGGTATATCTTACTCAGTTTCCTTCTTCCTTTTCCTTTCAGGAGGTCCAGTTGTGATCGATATTGAGACATACATTTCAAGTGTGAGTTCTATCGATGAAAGAGATATGGTAAGCAAATTCTCAGAGAACTAAATCTTAAAACGCCTTTTCCCTTTCATTGTTCTAATCTTGAGCCAAAAATACCCAAAAGTCAAGTTAGCGAGATTAGATTAGATTCAACTTATGTCAGTGATTCCGTTATGCACAGGGCCCGCGGAGCGGATTTTCAAGTGGGGGGGCTAATGCGAACGCGTTTGCATGAGCCAACTAGGGGGTCCGGGGACATGCTCCCCCCGGGAAAATTTGAAATTAAAGTCTTCTGAAATGGCTAGAAATGGATCTAAAACCGCCAAAAGTGAAGTTAATTTTTCATTCTTATAAAACAACGAGTAACAAACTGGCCTTCACGTTTGACCAAATTTAAATGAATAGACTAACTTCTAAGTTAAAAAAAATAGTGATTTAATCAGCCAAAAAAGCGTGGGAGGGGGGCTAAGGCCCCCCCAGCCCCACCCCCTGCGCGGTCCCTGATACAATTCACAACCAGACGAGTGTCGACGAGCCAAAAGAAATCAAAACCATGATCGAATGAATGTACACCTTCAGTTAGGATCAAATGGCAGCCAGCAGACCAAATCACTTTATACAACTTTGAAACTCTTTGAAACTCTACGGTGGCCAATTTACATTATGAACTCAGTTTATAAAACCAAAATGACCTTGTTTCTCCCACCGACGCAGCACTACAACTTCTTTGGAAACTTAACCTCCTTCATTTACTTTGTACAACTTTTCCTCCCTTCCTAGGAGTTTTCACTGGACATGTTCTTTCGACAGCGCTGGAAAGATTCCCGTCTCATTTATCAGCCGCATCCAGACAAGGGACCAGATCAAAGAGTTATTCTAAGCCCCGAATTAACCAAATACGTCTGGCAGCCCGACGTATATTTCAGGAATAGTAAGGACGCTCGCTTTCACATGGTACCCACACAAAATGTGTTGTTTGGCATCAACCCAGATGGCAGTATTCTGCTAAGTGCAAGGTCAGTAATTAATAAACGTAAAAACAGTATTGTGGCAACTCACTCTCAGAACAGTCTCATCCATGGCAAACTTGTGTTTCTTTTATGTTTTGTTCGTTTACTCGCTGTTTCAAAAAATAAAAGTGAAAAAATTACTAAACAGTAGTGGCATTTTTTGTTATCTATTAACAGAATTACCACCGTGCTGGCATGTCAAATGAATTTTCGCAAATTTCCAATGGATCGTCAAACCTGTCATTTCTACGTTGGTTCTTGTAAGTACTTATTAGTGGGAAAATTATAGGCCTAAATTATGCGCAAGCTTATAGCCAGGCAATCATGCAGTCGGTGATTGTTGCGTTCCCAAAAATAGCCAACGCAGCGTGAAGGGCAAACATCTTTTCCGTTTTCTAAGGGGGGACGAAAAGCATTTTTGTGTTTCGTAGCCCTGATCATCAGGACATAACAATCATGGACATTATTTTGTTTCTTACTCTTACAAGACTCACAGACAGAAGAAAACGTCTTAGTGAGATGGAGAAACGGCCAAGGAGTAATTGTTCCCGAAGAGCTCGAGATCCCTCAATATGACCTCACTAGCGTGGTAAGCAAGGATCGCAAAGGAGCGTACAACACAGGTTTGAGACCACTAAATGACATTTTACCTTTTTGCTTTGATTGGCAACGGAGTTGGTGCGTTTTAATATACACTCTTAGAGGACTTTTATTCTCCTTATTTCATGACTGACCTTTTCGAAATAAAATATCAATTTTGAATGTGCAGTTATGTACATGCTGCGCAAAAAGATTTTAGCATTTCTCATTTTGGTACGCTTTGGTGTGATTACTACGTTCATGAATGTATCCAGCCTAGGCTTTTATAGTAATCATGCCAAACCAGCTCTTGTATTAATTAACTGGTGACTTGATCTTTTTCATTTCCAAAATTTTCTGCAAATTGTATGAACATGTTGGTAGATGATTATCCTCTTTTGACAGGTGCCAGTGGAGTAGTTTTTACACAGACTCACACCTTGGCTAGTTTCCGAATTCATTAATTCAATCTGTCTCCGAATCAGTGTTCAGTGGTTAGAAGATAACTGTGTTTTGTTATTTCTTACGAGGCGGTCCTGGGTTCAAGCACTTTACTTTGCTACTCACTCGATTTGGTTTGGTGGTTGTCCCGTGTTCAACTCCTTGGCTTGGCTACACTTTGTATATAGCCAGCTTGACTGCCTCTAGCCAGTTGGGGTTTTTTAAAAAACTACGTTTATTCACAATGTTTCAATTTTTTTTGGCCCCGAAAATCCCTATTCAGGAAGTGGTCAGCTAAGTATATTAACATTTCTCTTTCTGTCTAGGAGTTTTCTCAGAGCCAGAGGCAACATTTGTCTTCAAGAGACGTTTGATGTTTTATGTTTATGGGTTTTATCTGCCTGTAACTTTAGTTGTACTTCTCAGTTGGATCTCATTCTGGATTGATCCTGAGTCTACACCTGCCCGTGTTTCTCTCGGAGTCATCACCATTCTAGCCATGGGCAACTTTCTTCATGGTGGAGGTGCGACTCCAAATGTTTCGTACGCAACTGCTCTTGATGTCTACGTTATTACAAGTTTTGTGTTCGTTTTTGCAAGCCTGATGGAGTATGCTGCAGTGCACTGCGCATTGATCAAATACCAGCAATCAGATATCAATGAGGTATTGATATTTGTGTTTTCGAGATAGAAAAACACGTATACGCAAACAGCGATCACGTTTTTACTATCTACCTTTCAGCGTTTTGCGCAATAATGGCAAATTTTTGCATTTTTGTTTGAGTTTATGATATTTTTCTGTAATATATTGAATCTATCAAAAGTTCTAAGGAGTTGAAAGCGAGATCAGAGGCAAAGTCAGTGCCGTCCTCGTTTTCCTAAGCATTTCCCTAAATATTCTTATATGGAGTAATACACTTTGCTCATTTGTTCTAAATTTAGAACGAATTATTTGCATACATGAGAAAGAAATACTTAAATCAGTCATAAATTGCTCTTAATACAGGCAACACTGTAAGAAGGTAGAATGAAAAAAAGCAATTTTGTCAACAGACCATTCCTAACTTCATCCAACAATAATGTTATTTTGAATAAATCAATTCAATCTTCCTCTTCTCCTTTTTTTTATTTTTAGCCGTGTAAGTTAGTCAAATTTGGCGATTCAGTAAAATCTCAAGACTCTGAAGAAGGAATGGTCAATGGCAGCTTTTCCAGCTCAAGCACTGTACAACTTCCTGTTACGTTAAAGAATGATGAAGAGGAGGGACACTCCCTAAGGCGCAAGTCTATCATACAAGGAGCCAAATTGTACTATATCCATTTCAATTACAAATCGCTGGAAAGCTATTCAAGGGTTGCCTTTCCTCTGCTTTTTGCAATATTTAATATTATCTACTGGTTTACTTACTGTGGATCAAAGGTCAGTGATCAGGGAATCTGTTGATGGTTCTTCAAGGAAATATCATCTAGAATCTTGGACGAATCGTAGAGCTGACTTCAGGAAGTTCCTTTGGTGCAAATCGGGACAGTTTTATTATCATCAGAGAATCTACCAATGGTTCTTTACGCAAATATCATCTAGAAGCTTGGACGAATCGTAGAGCAGACTTCAGAAAGTTCTTTTGGTTAAGTCGGGAACAGTTATCACATATAACTAGAGCACGTGTCATAGTGAAAGCAAAAGGTTCCCATCGCAAAGTGATACAATCTTGAAATGAAAGGTGCTGGAACAGTTGGAAATATATCATATGTATATATATTTCTATATATAGTCGTTAGTGGAACTCTCAGGCCAACAAAGGTGCACCGCGCCAGGAGAATCAATAAAGATTCGCAGTGCAAAGCTCACAGCAAACACGAACGTAGAAAGTTTAAAAATTGCGAGGATGGACAACTTCTGACGTCAAAAATATAAAAAATTTTAATAAAAAACGTTTCGGTCCGAGACCTTCTTCAGTTATTTACAACTTTTGAAATAAAAAAAGAGAGCATTAAATAAGATCGAAGTGCTAATGATTACGTAATTACAGATAACGACTAATGAACTAATGCTAATAAAAAGATAACAGAAAACCTAATCACAAAGAAAGCAATGGACAAAATACAAGAAACAAACCCTAAAAACTAAGAGATAAGAATACTAAATATGTTAAAATGAGTGGCGTAACCAATTGCAAAGAAGCAATTCGGCAAGCTAAAAAAGGGGAGCCCCACTTTTAACTACAACTGTAAACCGTAACAAAATCCCAAAACAAGGCCTTTGGAGCCCAAAAGGGCAAATTAGCAACAACGGTCGTGATTTTTATGATCGAGACTCCGCCAGAATAAATAGATACATAAAAACTCAGTCAAAATAGCTAGCGCTTATGACAAATAGTTCAAAATGATTCAACGTGGCCAAACAACTCGGAAAGGACTAAGCCCTCTCTTAACTTGAAGTGAGGGTCAGAGTGAGGGTCAAAGCTAGATTTTTGCACCCATGATTTGAAAAATTCGGCTCAAGCCACCGGTTCCTAATTCTGTTAATATCATTCTCTCTTATAGTATACCTTTTTTCGGAAATTTTGTTTCAGTATAATCGGTATGCTAATGCTCAAGAACACTTTAAATTAATGGTTAAAGGTTCCCATCGGCCAATTTTCAAACTTAAAACGGATCCTGTGAGAGTAAAGATTAATCTTTTAATTGCCACGCGTTGATTGTTCAAGGGTAGTTAGGGTTTTCGGAAAATCGCTCTGGAAAAATTACTTCCACACTAAAAATGCCTGAATTTGGTGTATTTTCAAATTCAAAAGGATATAATACTTCTACTTCGTAAAAATCGTCCATTTTAGGTGCAAATTGTGGATAAATCTTTAATCTTCAAAAAGTCGTGTGAAAACACTTTCAAAACTCAGACAGTGAGTTTTACGAAGCCTAGTTAGCCAATTTTGGCCCATTCAGGCTTCTCTAATTACGGGCTTCTCAAGGCGAGGTAACTTTACTGAACAAGATACAAAAACTACAAAATAGGGCAGCCCGTGTTTTGACTTATTCAAACGGTATGACGGTGATGCTGGTTACTTATTTGAACTCCCGGGATGGAAAAACCTTGCTTCCCAGCAGCAACTACAAAGAGCCACAATGGTCTATAAGTCTCTGCACGGCTTCTAAGCTCCAGACTATTTACATTCTAAATTTGAAAGGCGAGAAACTGCATATAACCTAAAAGACTTTGAGAATAAGCTTAATTTTCCATCGCCGCGCACAAACTATTATAAGAATAGCTTTAGCTATAGTGGCACCACCCTTTGGAACAGTCTTCCTCGTGATATAAGACAAGCAGAGTTCCTTGGGTTATTTAAGCGTTTAATTAAAGAAGTACGTTGTGGCGCGGCATTCGTGGAAAGCAGCTTTAGTCAGGTTTAGTTCTTAAGTATAGTTTTCATAATAGTATATTATCCATTTGATACTGTTATATATTTTAAATTTTTTACCACTTATAATTGATGAAATGTCCGTGGATAAATAAAGATTATCTATCTATCTATCTATCTATCTATCTAGGTCGCCTTCAAATTTGGTTATGAATAATTCATGATGTCCACCCATTCTGCCCCATGATGAGAGGTCAAAGGAAGTAACGATCATAAATTGCAATCAAAGTTTCAATTGAAGGCAACCGTTTATGCATTAGTGTGTATTACAAACCTACAGACTCGCATAATTACTTGTTATATTCGTCTTTGCATCCATCTCACGTTAAGAATTCCATTCCTTTTTCTCAGTTTCTAAGACTTTGTCGTTTATGTAGTGATGACTCTGATTTCCACCACAAATCAGTGTCAATGTGCCAGTTTTTCGATAAACGTGGTTACCCTGCTTCTGTCGTTCAAGCGGGTTACCACCGCGCCCAACTTATTGATCGACAATCAGCACTACAAACGTCGCATAAGGTAGATTCCGACCGCATTCCATTCACTCTCATGTTTCACCCTCACAACCACTCAGTTAAATCCATCATTCTTAAAAACTTTAAATTACTTCAAAACGATCCAGAGACAAGCACTATCTTTTCGCAGCCTCCGCTCATTTCATTCAAACGCGACAAAAACATAGGCAATTTTTTGGTCAGAAGTTCTTTTCAGACTAATGACCAACCAGGCACTTTTAAATGCGCTCGTGCACGATGCAAAACGTGTCCTTTCATTCACAACACTGATAAAATATCGGGACCTAAACGATCCATTAAGATCACCGATCACTTCACGTGCACCTCCGCCAATGTAATCTATTGCATAACTTGCACTTATTGCAAAAAGATATACATCGGCGAAACAGGCAGAAGACTAGGTGACCGATTCCGAGAACACCTTCGAGACGTGGAAAGGAATGACAAGGACACATCGAAACCAGTCGCTAGACATTTTAATTTACCTAATCATTCTAAGCAACATATGGCAATCTGCGGTCTTTCCTTACACTTAGGTAGCACGGAAAGCCGTAAAA